ACCTGAGTGGGGGGGTGGCTTCAAATTTTCTCCAAGGGCAGATCAGCAGTCTGGGTTTAGACTGGATTAAAGTGATACAGAATCACAGCCTTAATCCTTGAGTGTGGTACATGAAGCTTAAATATATACCAGTACCTGTGGGGACAGAGCATCATCAGTAAATTAAATTTTCCATTAAATTTATGACTATTTTCCCTCCCACTCTCCTTTGTGACAGGGAAGACACTGCCAATTTTTCCTCTCCTTCTTCCATGCAGAGTAAATGAGGCATCCTGGTGACAAAGAGAGCACATCCAGGAATGGGAAATGCTTCTGCATGCATCCAGAAGAATCTTCTAGAGCAAATATAATTGCAGGACATGTAATGGTCACTACTGCAAAGGCTGATGGTTGCAACTGTTGGGCATAAATGATGGTCAGTGTATGGGAATGGCAGCCTTTCCAGATCTGTGTGTTCAGACAGCACTGCAAAACCTGACATTGCTTCCCTGACAGACCCAAACGTTCTGAGTGTAGGACAGGCAGCTAAAGCAGCTTTGGGTTATTTTCAGATGGGCTTCTTGTGAGGAACACGCTGAGTAACAGCACAGAAAGCCCTTCCTCTCTAGGTCACAACTGCTCTGATGGGCTCAGGTCACCTGGGAGCCCTCTGCTTCTGCAGGAACAGGAGAAATATCAGAGCCTTTCTGAGAGGTTTGTTTCTTTTCTGTTTGCAGTTAGTAATTAATGGTGTTGAGGGATGTGTCAGAACAGTCAGGAATCAGAGCAGCCTTTGGGAAACGATCCCTGGGTCTGACTCACAGGATTTGTCGTGGTGCACCACACCACAAGCTGTACTGATGTACTGCACAAAGGCAGGAGGATTATGGGTGTAAATAACCCTGATGTCTACTGAGCTTTACACTCTCTTACAGAACAGTTGATCAGAAATGCACTGTTTCTTTGCCAAAAACTAAGTACTCACCTGGTGCAACAGAAGTTATTCAAGGAAATGGGAGTGTTGTGGAACTCCTGCAAAAGGGACTGTGTTCCCAGTGATAGTGGCTTTCTTGGGATCCTGTTAAGGGGCTGAGTTATTTTTTGAGTTATGTTTTCAACCTGTTTTCTGCAAAATCCAGCATTTGATACACTGGAAATCGAGTTTGACATAAAAGAGTTCATTGTGTCCCTGAAGAACCTTCCAGCATAAAGACCTTCCAGTGGGAGAAGGTGTTACTGGTTTTTGTTGGTCAGTTGGTCAGGGGTTTTTTGTTTGCTTTTATGTTTTGTTGCAAAGGACAATGGAGCAAGTGCAACACACTGTATGTTGGGTTTGGAACTGAAGCTGGAGAAATCTTCTGGCCCTTTTCACTGTGGTATCAGCTGCTCCTGCCATGTGGTAAGGCTGTTACAAATAAGAGCTGCAGGATCCTTGCAGACAAGAGCATGGGGAAGACTATTTTATTGCTGTAATTTAGTTTGCAGGAGTCAGATCACAGCCACTTCCTACAGACTCCTTTGGATGCTTTAGTGTGAAATGCACTCAGGTGGAAAGCTCTTATACCTACAGATCTTTGACGTGGGGAATTAATGGGAGAGTTAGTTGGGAGGAAAACAGGATGTCAGAGCTGCCCTCAAATCTGCTGCTGATTACTGGCACATTTCTATGTCCAGCAGCTGCCTGCCAGCTCATTCTAGCAGAGTCTAGTCTAGAACTGAAAAACCACATCCTTCTTTAAGCTACTGAAGGGATGGATGAACTGCAGTCTAAATAGGTGGTTGTAATTTCTGTGGACAGGATGGTGAATTCTGTCAGCAGGAAATGACAGGTTTGCCTGTTATAGAGAGACAAACCTTTGTCCTGGGAAAAGGAATGGCAGTGAGCAGCTGGGCAGAGCTGTGCCTGTCCCCTCTCTTTGATCTCTCTCCATTTAAGTCTCTGTCATGGAAATAAGGTTGTTGCTTCACAGCAAATGGCACCTGGGACCCAGCATCACGACCCTTCAAGTGCCTTCCAGGGCTGGTTTTTTAGGTTAGAATGAAGTCACCTGCTCTGTAGGTATTGTTTAAAAAATTCTTATTTAATTGGATGAGCATCACAAGAAGCTTTTTCTGTCAAAATAATTCTGAGTTCCAGATCACCATGAGCCACAGTGGTGACAGTGGAGTGCTTTTCTATGTACCTGTAATAAATACTTCTTATTTGTCATCTTAGTATTGAGTCTCTGTTGTAGCACTGTTATTCCCAGTACTAAAGTAACTTTAAATTCATATTGTTATGGCTGTTTCTTTTATTACTGTTAATAGGTGTTTATTTTTGTGATATGCTTGTATTTCAGTAAGACTTGCCACATTTTTAGATTTGTCTTATGTTTATTGCAAGTAGAAAGGGAACCACCTTTTTTTTTTCTTTTTTTTACAAACACGAGGTTTAAGAGTTATTATTGACAACTGTAGAAATTCCATACCTTGCCTTTCAGATTGATGTAACAAGCTTAGTAAAGTAGGAAACACAGACCACTTTATTCCAGTCCCTTCCCTCTTTTCCAAAAGAGAATTCCTTGAAGATGCCTAGCTTGGTGTTTGGATTCATAGTCCTGTTGGAGGACACAGAGCAAAGACAGAAAAGTCTAATAGTGGAGGAAGCAGAGAAGAAAATCTTGGCAGTTACAATAAGCAGGGATTGTCAGCTCCTGTGTTTTGAACGTTGCCCACAGTGGTTGAGTTGTACCAGTGATGAGTGCTTTATTTTCTTGAAGACTAGAACACCATTTCAGTATTCTAGTTTTTTAAAAATAAGACAATCCTTCCATGGATATTTGATTGGAAAGGTTTGCTTTCTTTTAAGTGCTTTTAAGCTGGTTTTTCTGGTGTGTTTAGAGGCATCCTTGTAGCTGCTGTTTACAAGGGAGAAATCAGCTGCTGGAGAGGGAAATGGCTGTTGCATCTTGAATTACCCAGTATTTATGAAATGTCAGGGTGAGCTGTGGTGAGCAGCTGAAATGTGCTCAGATCAGTGCACATCTAATTTCCGGTGGGGCACAAAATATTGCTGGGCAGTGGGAAAGGATCCGTTCCCTGAGATCCAGAGAAAACGTGTTCCTGTGCTTCATTTCGTGTGTTCTTTGTGGCACGTCATAATCATGGGAAGAGAGATTTATTTTCTTCTAGTTTTTGAAATGAATTACCCTCATGGATCTGAAATGGCTCAGCTGATGTGGGGCTGACTGAGGGGGCTGACTGCAGCTAAAGCTGGAAAGATGGAGGGGTTGGGGAGGCATCACTTTGTGTGTTACTGGTTTGGTTATGTTCTGCTCTTTAAAACACGATCATCTCTGCTTGTAATTGTTAGTACACCGAGTGAGCAGGCAGGAATTTTTGCTAAAAGTAAAATAAGTCACAAAATACAGCTTTTTAATATATACAGGAAGTACACGTGGCCTAATGAGAGGCCAGAATACTCTGTGTTGGTACATAAGATGTGACAAAGTGACCACTTTCTGCCCTGAGCAGTTCATGAATTAGGTGTCAGACTGAACTTCCACGTATGAAAAGAATTACATTTTAAAGTACCTGATGTTTGCTGTGAACAGCAACTTCCTGACCATCGTTTCTCTCCTTTTTCCATGTGTGGCACTGGATAGAGGACTGACAGATTCATGCTGAATAGATTGACTGATCTTTGAGCACTGGAATACATGTGTTCCCTCTCCAACCTTTTTGCTCTGTTATTTGACAGAATCTTGGATTCTAGATACTTGTCCACTAGAATTAAATATTACTGGAATCAGTAAAAGTAGAAAATCAGCAGAATTAAATCCAACACATGAATTGCTTCTACACAGGTAATGTTTTACTTCCCAGGCAATTTCTGTCTGTAGTTTGTTTGAGAGCACAAAATTTGAGATCCATTGGTGAGTTTGAATAGGATACCCATTGTGCTTGAAGTGTTTCTATTCCTAGTTTGAGTGAGCATCCCAGTGACAATAAATATGCTAAGATAGTTTTAAAATTTACATCCTACTTAAGTTGAGGTTTTCTTTACATAGGACTGTTTTCTCTTGCCTTTTGGGCTGTGCTTTTGCACTCATTCACTGGAATATTTGGACACAGCAAATAAAGGGTGGGATTAACACTTGTTAACTTAGTTCAATTAGTAATTTGTAGTAATACTGTAGAAACATTTGTGTGGTCTTTGCCCAGTTTGTGCATAAGACTGAGAGAGTTTTATAATTTACTGGTAGTCAGCTTCTAAATATTTAGAAACATTGATATTTCATGACCTTTGACTGTTGCTTTCCCAGCACTCTTACAAAACTAAACTGGATTCTATTAGTACTGCAAACAAGCTCCAGAGAGCAAAACTAGGTTTGTGAATGTTGGACTTGCATCTCTCTGTAAAAATATTTGTTTATTGCCTTTAAAATATCCTGGTTTATGAATAAGCTGTGCCAAGAGTGACACAAAACTGTGTGAGACAGTGAAGTGGAAATGCTCTGTGTGCTGGTGTCAGCCAGCACTGGAGCTGTACAAGTAAACCTGTGGTGTCAGTGAGGCACAGAGAGGAAAGGGGCTGTTTTAATTCAGAAGTGAGCTCTCCCAAGGAATCTTTTGTCTGTAGCATCGTAGTTGGATATTGTTTGGCTTTGAAATTCTTTGAGCTGTCAAACAACACCTTCTTGCTTAGTGCAGCTCAGTCTATACTGAGCTGTGATCCTGGGATACACTCCCAGTGTCAGTGCCTGGGTTCAGGCCCACAGCTCTGCAGTGCCTGAATGTTCCCTAAATGCAGGTCCTGTGGCCAGGAGGGTGTTGGGAGCAGTTCTGCTGTTGGGAGCAGTTCTGCTGGATGCTGCACCAAAGCCCTGCATTTGCAAAAAGATGGGGAATTTAGCAGGCTCAGACCTGTGCACTAAGAGTAACCATTAGAGCTGCAAGACACATTTGTGTCTGATGACTTGCATGGATGGAATTGGTTCTTTCAAATTGGTTATTGGCTCTTTGTTTCTGCTTGTTTCCAGGTTGCATGGCCGGTACCATGAGATGGCACCAAACGTTGTGCCCATGGACTACACAAAGGACCCAGATGTCAAACTACCTATGCAGCTCATAATAAACATGCCTGAGCTAAAGGTATCACTTCTGACTGCTTACAAACTGTGTCTGGGCTTATGTAGCTCGTCTGCCAAGTGAGTTTGATATCCTGAAGCAATGTGGTGTGCTGGGCTCTTCCCCTTCCTGTCACTGTTCCAGGGCAAAACCAGCCCCAGAAGCCGGAAAATGTTTAGGTGGATGTCTTGCTTGCAGAGCTAGTTGGGAGAGATGTTAATAGGAAATGCATGGGAAATAAAATCAAATTTAGTAATTTTCCCCCTTTGTGTGTTCGGTGCCAGAGAAGCCCGTGGGATTTCTGTGTGAAGAGCTGGTTAGGAATCAGAAGTTCTTATCTCAGTGTGCTGACTGGAGATTTGCAAGAGGCGTGCAGAACGTTGCCAAGAAAAAGGAAAGGCTTTCCCCTTTTTTTCATCTGCCTGAGCACAATTGGGAGTTTTCCTTTTTCATAGAGACATTACATGGTAGTTGGTGGAGAGACAGTCCATGAGAGAAGCAGTGGGTATAAAGCAATCAGTGAAAAAAAAATTTGGGGCACTATTTGTTTTTATTCTTGTATCAGTTCAACCATTTAATGTGGTTTTAACAGGACAAGTATGGCTTTTCAGCATTTATTTTTTTCAACAGTTCATTGAATTATGTTGTGTTTGGTCTCATGCTCTGTTTTTTAATGTATGCTAATTAGTTGATGTCTTTAAATTACTGTAATGTGTAAACAACTATTTATTCAATCTGGTAATTGCATGAAACATTTCTAAGCTTTTTTAAGAACAATGCCCTAAAAACCTTGTAATTGGTGACCTTCCACTTGATTTTAATGATTTAGAAATTCTTCATTAATGCTGTACTTTTTTCCCCAAATATCTGGTACTATACAAGCAGAAGCAGTGCTTTAGAAATTCAGCTGGGGAGGAGGTTAAGTCAACATGAAGAGAAAAACATTTGAATTAGATTTCAAGTTGAAGGGCACGGAACTCATTGTTCCTTTAGTGCCACTCTTGCTGCATATTTGATTCTGGGAAAATACCATTTATTGAACAAGAAGCACATTTCACTCTAAGGCACGTTTGTTAAAAAGTGTTTGACCAGCATTTCATATAAATGGAAACATTAAAGACACAAACCTTTAATTCAGTAGAAGACCTAGGAAAAGTTTTCATCCTTCAGTTATTCTTCAGGTGCCTGTGGGCAGCTGAAAAGTTTGTGTTTCTGAAGGAATGGAGGAATCATTTAGAATTCTTTTTCACAACAAGCATGGGCTTCTCCAGCAAATTCCTAATGTGTGTTTATCCCCTTTCTAATGGCATCAGTGTTCCTGGAGGTTTCTGTTCTCATCTCTGGGACCTTGACAGTGCAGTGTGAAACCCTCTGGCACAGGTCTGTGCCTGCTCAGGGTTCAGCTGCCAGGTGGCTCAGAGCTGCTTTGTGGCAAATCAAGGCTAAGTTTAGAAAAGCCAGTGAGAAATTATGGTCACACACACTCTTTTGGGCTTCAGTCCTAGAGGATTGAACACTTAAGGAGCAGCTCATTCCATGAAGACTTGAGAGATGGAAGACTCCTGTGTTTACAGGACAGCCTGGTGCTTAGGCTGAGATCTGAACCAGGAATTTCTCCCTGGAACCTGTTTAGATTGAGATCCAGGAGCACATCTTGCTGCCTTAGTGAACTTAGATGGCACTGACAGACTTCCTGAGAGACTTCCCTGTGTGAGATGGATCATAATCCATCCTCTTGCACCACACCCAGGCTGTGAGGTTGTCAGGCCCTGCTTTAGGAGATGTCTCCAGGGTCATGGAACTTGAATTTATGAAAATAGCAGGACTAATTCAGTGTTAAATTTTATACAGGTTCTCTCTCAGGTCTCATAAGGCTGTGGAAGAACCTTAGAACTGTTGCTGTCAAACCACCCTTTATTTCAGGAATTGTAGCAGCTCAGAGAGAAAAGTGCTTTTAAGAGCTAGTGAGCTTGTTTCCAGTAAAATATCAATAAGAGGAGACTGGGCCTTTTTCCATAACTCTTTCAAAGCATTGACAGTAAAAACTATTAAAATGCCACCCAGGGTCTCAGTTACAAACTGGGACCCATCTTGGTCGTGAAGCATTTTGTGATTGACTGTGCAGATGGGGGTGAGAGGAGAGGGTTCATTTTTGAAGCACCCTGGGTAGTAACTCCAGCTCCTACAGCAAGAAAAATCATCTTTAACCTTTGCAACTTGCCCAGACTGCCCAACACAAGTCGTTATGGTGTTTGCTTTCTTTGGGAAATTTTCATCAAGGTGAAGACAAAGCCAACATTTAAATCTTAAAATAGAAATAAATGAACTAAATGTCTATTGAATTCTAATAAAATTAGTGCTAATTTCACTGCACCTGGCTTTTTTCATATACACATTACATTTCTGGTTACTGGCAACGTTGAGCTCAATACCATTGCAGGTTCTGACAAATGGATAGAATCAATAATGCACTTTTCTAAATTAGATTCTGCTACTGTAAAGAAAGATCTTTACCTCCTGCATTAATGTTTCGAGCCAGGATTTTTGTGTTTCAAAGAAGAAAAAAATGCTGGTGGTCACTCACTTTAATTGGTCATGAATTATTCACTAGCTCACGATTCTTAAAAGTTGAAAGTCAGGACAAGAAATAAATAAATAAAGAAGGGACAGATACTTTAAGTGGATTAGTTCTACCATTACACTGAAGTTGACAGAGCTGCTTTACTCCATCAGTGTCACTGCAGCCTCTGCTCTCTCATTCTGACAATCTTGGTTACACAGCCTGCTGTCTAATAAATTCACTTTGGGGCGTCTGGGCACCTGTGAGATTGCAGGAATTAGTATTGCCCAGTCGTAGCCATGGTGTGGCTGCTCAGTGGGAGACCAGGGAGAAAGCACAAGGGATATTTTTCCCCAACTCCAGCTGATCTCACTCACATTGTCCCTGTCCTTTGCCCAGGGCTGTAACCTGGTGACAGAGCACTCTGATTTGGGGGGGTGGGTGGCCATGCCCATGTCCCCAGTGTACCCAGCTGTGGGTAGTGCAGTGCAGAGCAGTCCTTCTGGTCAGACAGGGGCTTCCTGAGGGGAACTACTTCTGTTTCTCTCACTTTACAGTCTGTTGCTCTCTGGTTTTTGGCTCACACAGTGACTTCATCGATCCTCACAGACCTTGTCATTGTCTGCAGTGGGGGCTGAGGTAGTTCATAAATCCACCCACTGCTGAAACAGAGTGGGCAGCAGGCACAGGGATGAGCCAGGAGAGAGGAAGGACACCCAGGGAGCAGGGAATCCCTCCCACATTTCAGAACTGCTGTTAGCCCCCTGGTTTTGGTTAAGTTTAAACACGAATGCACGTGGGCTGCTTCGAAATGAAATAAAAATACTTTATACAGTTTGAATGGGATGGGATTTTAGGGACAATTTCAGTGGGTCTTCGGGTTCAAAGCTTTCCATGCGTGGGCAATGACCCCTGAGGGAGCAGGCTGATGTTCTTCCTGAGCCCCCATCCCTGCTCTGGCCAATCTTTGCCTCCAGCTCATCCCAACATCCTCGTCTGCATCCCGTGAGTTGTTTCTAGTCAGGATGGGATGCTTTACTCCTTTCAGACAACTCTTCTTGCTTCCCTGAAGCCCCATTTTAACTGTGGGTCTCCGCTGGATGCGCTCCAGGTGTCATAAGTGAGGGCCACATTCCCTCTGGTGAGCCCAGACCTGCACCTTCCCAGTGCTCTCCAGCTTTGTCTGCACTTCCTGGCTCAGGGAATCAGTTTTTGTCACAGTGCCTCATGTTCCCACAAGACACCATTAAGTTCTGTAATATTGAAGCAATTCTGTCTCCAGCCACAGTCTTTGGTTATTTGGCTGTTGTGGCTTCAGTAAACAGTCATTGCTGAACTGTCTTATGTTTCTGCTTTCTGACAGAGTGATGTGGTCTTTTTTTAAGACATAAACATATCAGTTTAGCTGTATTTTAGCCTTGGTTTCTGCAGGGATTTCTTAAGCAGGCACTGCAGAGAAGTTTGATGACATTAATATAATCATATACACATAAAAACCACATTATTGATTTTGAGGAAGAAGAAAATGAAGGAAAAAAAAAACCAAGAAACTTGCTTTTATCTGCTCCGGGCATAATTTGCTGTTGCTAATGATGCTTCCTTTCCAAAGTACCAGACTTTCCTGTGGAGCTTTGGTAATGAACAATTTTGCCATTTTTACACTAATGTTTGTCTGATAATGTCTTTTTTTTTAGGAATAACTCCTGAAATTTGAGAAAGGTTTGCTTTTGACCAGTTCTGAACAAGTCCTCATTAAAGCATCCAAAGGGACTCTGACTTTCAATAGTCTGCAAAGCAGACTGGTTTGTGCATTTAAATATATCCTCTAAAGTCAGTGGGGACTTTGATTCAAACACAAAAGAGAAAAATCATCATTTTCTTTCTGTGAATATAAAAATTAAGAAGCATTTTGTGATGACTTTTCAGCATCTCTAGTTTAATTATCTTGACCTATCTTAGAACTTTACTTGCAACATCTTATTTCCAAAATGCAGTCCATCTGTGGGAATAGGACAGAGGGGTTGGAATGAATTCCTCAAGCTACAAAAGAGAGCAAAGGGCCACCACAGTGCTCTCCTGGAGCCTGGGATGGGAACCAGAGGACAGAGGATTTCGCTGCAAGCTCAGGAATAAACCCTATTAATAGTTTCTTAGAAGACTAATGGCTGTGTGTCATTGTATGGTGTTCTTGGTCTGTGTGTTGGGATAGATGCCACATGAGATTAGGAAATGTATAGAAACACAGTTATTGAGCAGAAGAAGTGATTGTTACAAAAATGGATTAGAAGGATTATCTCAAGCCACTAGAGCAGCATCAATCTGCAAAGCAGCAGAGGGTTTTCTTTTTCAGTTGTAACAGTTCTTTATTGTTTCTGTCTCCACTCTCATTTTGGGAGGGTACAGAAAAAGCTTTTTAGCAAGGCAAGTTTCTAGTCTTAAAAGGATTCTTTTTTTTTTTTTTTTAACAATTAGTACTTAAGGGAAAGCAACCTAGGAAGGAACAGTATCGTTTTCCCCTTTGCTCCCTTCCCCCATGGCTTTTCCTTTAAATATGATGGAACCCTAATCTGTGCTCTTTAGAGTGGAGGTAATGAAATTACAGAAAGGATGTGAAAAGTATCTGTGAAGGTAAGCTAATACTTTCCATTGTGTAAGCCACAGATATACTGCCTGAAGACACATAATATGAGAAAGTTAAAGGAAAGAAATCAATATGAGGAAAGATTTTATTTTTCATTTAGGTTTTAGAGATCCATTTGGCCAAGAGTTACTTAAGAAGTATGCTTAGGCCCATTTAATTCTTTCTTAATTCAGCTGTATTTTCAAGATCTCTGACATGCCAAAGAGATAACTCATGCAACTGCAACGTGTTCATTGAGTGAGTGAGACCCTGCCTGGCATTTCTAATGCATTAAGTCCCAGGTTTGATATTCACTGCTGATAGGGAGATTTGCATCTGTGGGCTCCCTGTTTGTTACCCAATGCTGCCTCTAAGATGTCAGTTTAAAACTGTCACCACAGCACTTGGTTGTGATGAGGTTTGTTCCAAAGAGAGCTACGGAATATTTTAGAAACAACAACAACAACAAAAAATTATTAACATGTTTCAACATCCATTCTGATGTTTGGCCTTCTCAAATATTAAACATTTAACAGATGCACCATTTTTTGGGTGCCTTCAGGAAGAAAGGGGGCCTTTTCCTATATTTCAGCCCAAATGAATCTCACTTTGGCTTTTTAATAAACTGGCAGTTTGAGACAATAGCACCAGTTGTTTGGCACTGTGTGTCTGGGTGTGTATTCCACAGACAGGTCCATGTGTATTCCACAAACAGGCACGTTTCCAGGCATCAAGGGGGATCCTTTAAGCTCAGCAGCAGCCCCAGTTGCCCACCTGCTGTCCCTGCCCATCCTGCATGTGACATATCCTTTTACAGGGAGGTTCTCTCAGCCATCTGGCAACTTCTGGGGTGTTGTTTTTCATTCTGAGACTCTTTAGGGATGTGACCCTGCTGCTTTTTGAGGCTGCTGGCTTTTTGTTTTCAGGGGTCCCTCTTTTGTGCTCTATTTAATTTCATTTTATTTGGCCTGGTTTTGCCTTCACCTGAACAGGGAGCTCAGCCTGATGCCCTGAGCTCAGAGTACAGTGAGCTCATTAATCTCCTACCCTCAGAAATCCGCAGGCAGGGTGCCTGTTGTGGAATTACTTCAGCCATGGAACCCTGCAGGAGAATTTGTATTTAGTATTGACTACTTCAGTGGGCTGTCCCTTGAGCCTGGGACTCTGTGGTCCATATTTCACCCATCCATTAAAACAGCCTTGTTCCTGGCCATTGCCACAGCCAGAAAGACTGGAGAGATTTTGGCATTTAGGAGTGAATTTTAATCATAGAAGTGTTTGGGTTGAAAAAGATCTTTAAGCTCATCGAGTCCATGCATATTAGTAGTAAGTGGCCCAATTCTTGTAAGGTACTTTATATTCCTTTAAGATGATATATAAAATACCAATATCTTCAGCAACTCTGATTTTTGCATGCTGCTTCTATCTTTTTAGTCTCCACAGTTATGCTGAAAATGTGTTTATAGATGCATCTGTTCTGCGTGTGAATTATCAAGAGACAATTCAAGTAAACTGAAAAATAAGATGTTTCCGGTCATTTGCCTCTCAAATATAGCTGTTTTATGTGATTTCATTAATAATAATAATAATTTCATTAAAAATAATGGTTTGTGAGTACCTGTTAAGTAATTAAACTCAGAGAAAAAAGAGAAATTAAATGAAGTTCTGAGCTTTCACAATACTGCTTCTTTTAAACAAAATGCTGCATGCATATTAAAAATATGAAGCATGATATGCCACCACTGAAGCTGTTTGCATTTATAGAAGATCAACATGTTGATTGGTGTCTTGCTTCTGTAGATCTGTAGAACAGCTTTGATGAGACACTGCTCACAGCCCAAGTCATGTTTGTGTTCTATTTGGATTCAACTGAATTGAATTGGTTTTCCCAGTTTTACAGATGCAGCTACAAATTAATTTGGGGGTTTTACACAGCTGAGACAAAAATGTTGCTTTGATACCATAAAAACATCTGGTTTGGACTTGGGAGTGTTAAAGCAGCTTTTCTTATGCTTCCTTGTGTGTTTGTGGTTTTAGAATATTGTCTCATTCTTGGGTGCAGGAAAGGATCTCAGGATCATCTCCTGTGGAGATTAAATTTCATTTAAATCTCTGGAGTTTAGTCAGTCCAACCACAGGTTGGACATGGATGGGTGACAGTGCAAATGAAAGGCTTTTCTACAAGATTCTCCTGGGATGTGACTCTACATCCTTAGTGACTGATGGTTCTGCACCAGCCAGGGGTGGAATGCACACACCGACTTTTGGAAGTGGTTTCATAAATACTATTTGTTCTTCCAGCCTTCAGTCAGGAAGACCCTGTTTGCTTCCTTGGCTTTCTCCCTTGGTCTCTGTTTCCATCCCCTCCTGCCAGCCCCTGTTTTTCTGTGCCAACTCCTTCAGTCTGACACCCTGGCAGGAGCCTGTTACCTGAAAATCATCTTCAGGCTCTTTGTACCTTTACTGTAACATTTATAAAGCACTGGAGGAATGAGGGGGGCACCAGTTTAGAGAGAAGAGACCTGGGCAAGAAGTACAATGCAGCATCACGGGCTGCAAAAGCATCCAAATGTAAATTTTTAGATGCATTTTTGGAAGGGAAAAAAAGTTGTCTTCAAAGAACCAACCGTGGAATTCTGTATTCATTATCAGGGAGTCTTTTGGAGGTTTTTTGATCTTTCAAATACTAATATGTATATTTTTTTTTCCCACAGGAGAATCCCTTCAAAGAAAGGATTGTGTCTTCTTTCTCTGAAGATGGAGAGGGCAGCCTGAGCTTCAATGACTTTGTGGATATGTTCTCTGTGCTCAGTGAAATGGCTCCCAGAGAGCTCAAAGCAATCTATGCCTTTAAGATCTATGGTACTGTGGGGAGGGGGGGGATGCTTGGGGGTGCTTTTTGTGGTGGAAGGAAATGAGTGTGAGAGTTGCTGGTGACCTCTGGTTCTTTTCTGGTTCAGATTTTAACACAGATAACTTCATTTGTAAAGCAGACCTGGAGCAAACCCTCAATAAGCTGACCCGGGAGGAGCTGACAGCAGAGGAGATCACCCTGGTGTGTGAGAAGGTGATAGAAGAGGCTGACATGGATGGGGATGGGAAGCTGGGCTTTGCAGATTTTGAAAACATGATTTCCAAAGCACCAGACTTTCTCAGGTACTGGGTTTTTTTAGGATATCACTGTGTAGTGTAATACAGGAAATGTCAGACATGAGTGTTTTGCTGGAGAACTGTCTGAGGATGACCTGACTCAGTTTATTTTTCCAGTTCTCTGCTCATGTGAAGACTAAGAGCTCATTGACTTTTGTGTGGGTTCTTCAGGAAAATATTTTGATCTATTATAAGCTCAAATTCATATCTTCCTTAAACCTATAGCAAGAATCCTTGTTGTCTGCATAGAATGGTGTGTAAATATTGTCTACGTGTTACAAATATACATGGAAGCACATTGATCTTTTGTGCTGAGCAGGTGAGAGCATCTTTAATGCTGATGCTTTTCAAGAACATTCAAGTGTCCTGCAGAACACAGAACAGTTTCTTTCTTTCATAAATGAGATTTCTGAGGGAAGACATTAAAGCAAAGTGATCAGTAAAGCACGAGCACGTGATTCCTGTGAATCCTGAGAAACATCAGCTTTCTGAGAGGAGACACTACAAAGTTAATGCCTTTTATTCATACCAGGCATTCCTTGGCTAATCAGGTATGGCAAAAGAAACCCTTTTAGAACAAGACACATTTCATCATTATGGTGAGGTGAGGCTCAGGAGGTGCTCTAGTGTTTTGTTTACAGATATTTCCAGCTAAGAGAAAACATTTTCTTTATTGTGCTGCCCCCACAGAAGCTGCTGGGGTCAGGTGGAGTTCCCTTGAATCAGTCAAAAGGCTGTGCTGCACCTAAAATCTGGCAGAGAACAGCAATCCACTGTGAGGAGCTGGAGGCAGACCTGGAGATTCAGCAGAAGCTGCAGTTGCAGGAGTTTCCTGTGCCATGAGTGACTTTACTGCTGTGTTGTAGAGGCTGGCAAACTGCTGACTGAGAATTCCAAGCTGAGGATGCTGTGCAGTCCAGTCATTTCCTGAGGAAGTGGCAGAGAGGAGTGTTTGCCAGTGCAGTGCTGGGATGACTGTCATCATTATTCTTCTTTCCCAAGTTTGTGATGTTCTGAGAAGATGAGGAAATGAGTGAAAAGCACTGAGTATTCAACAGGGTATTCAACAGGGCAAGATGATGAGTAAGAAGAGGGATGGAGTGAGAATACAGGCCTTGTTATAGATTAGGTGAGAGACAGTAGAGTACCAACAAAACCAGAGGACCAGGCTACCAAGAGTTGGGAGACTGAGCATCCAGTTGCTCAGTTTAAACACAGGTCCTTGGATCCACATTCATGACATGGTGAACTCCATGTTATCAAGATGTCTCCTGCATGTTCAGGATGGTGATGTGCATATTTCAGGCAGATATTTTTCATCCTTGGCTTCAAGAGAAATCTTAACTTCCCTCTTCTTTCAGGTTCAGGAGATCAGCTGAGTCACAGGATTCATCTGTGAAGTCCTCAGGCTGAAGAGCTCCTGATGACATAAAGAAGGGTTTCCTTCCAGCTACTGGCCAAAACACTGACCAGGCAGTTTCCATATGGATAGCAGTATCAAGAAAACAATTTCTTAGCTGGAAATATATGTAAAGAAAGTATTAGAATCCTCTTGAGATGCTAATGCTTCTCAGGGTACATCAATATGGTTTTTAACCTTTGGAGCTATATTGCAAAATGAAAATATAATAGAAAAAAGTCTCAGAGCTGAGAAAAGAATGTGTAGGTTCTCTGATCTGGTTTCTGTTTCATCCAGAATTAACAGCTGCAGGAGAAGAAGGTGACAAGGTGGCAAGACCACTTTTATCTGAACCAATGGAAGACTTGATACCTCTGCCTTTTTGTGGTTTACTGTTCACTTTGCCTGTATAAGTTTGAGGGTTTTTTTCAGGATATTCTTAGTCATATTTTTCCTGAGTGCACTGCATCACTGACTGACATATTTGTTAATACTGAACCTCCTGATCTGAGGAACTTGCTCTCATTTTTAAAATACTGTGTAAATGTTGCATTCTAAGCGAGACAGTGATTTTGGGATGGGAATCATTGAAGTTTAATTGCCACAACAGGGACACCCAGGTCTGATGGGGCCTCTCTGGCAGTAGCCAGGGCCTGCCAGTTTGTGACAGAGTGTGTGACATGGGACAAGAGGGCAATTCCTGTAGCTGATCCCTCAGCACAGAAAGCAGTTCCTGTTCTTTGGGTTCAGTGGTGCCATAACAGTTGGACACGTTACCTGTTCACTTAATGAGACGCTACTTTCTTATCCCTTTCTGAATTAATCTCCAGCTCTATTCCTGGCCTCTCATTTTCCTTTCTTCTCAGTCTCCAGCTGTAATGTCCTTCTCAGGGGTAGCCATGGGCTGTGTGCAGCCACAGGCAGGGCTGTGCAGCTTCACTGGGTGATCTAACACAGAGTGTGCAAAGCTCAGGAAGTGGCTTAACACAGATCACCAGCCCTGTTTGCTGGGGTGAACTTACCCTGAACAGCTCCTGAATGTAGCAAAAAGATATGAAACCTAAAATAGTCTCTTCTGAAACCTTAAGCAGGTCCATGGAACAAATACCAACCCATCAATGTCCAGAGACAGTCATCATTTCATTTGGTTTTGCACAACTCCACTTCTTGTGCCCAGTTGAACACATTCCAGAATTTAAATTCAAGGAAACCCAGGAGTCTATTGATTTATGCTTCCAGCTGCTCAGCTGTGAAAATTGAACACCTAGGAAGCAAAGCAGCAGCCACACTGAGAACAACTGCCAGGGAGCAATTGGAGTGCTGGGAACCTCAGGTTTCAGAGATTTTGCTGTGAAGCGATGGGCAATCGATATTTAGGAATATCTGATCCCAGAATACCAGACTGGCACCTGGTGTAGGATCCTCTTGGAAATGCTGAATAACTTAACAAAGCCTCAGATGATTTTTATTTGTGGTAAAGGATTTCTTATTCTGTTCTTTGCCTTTTTGCCCCACCTAAAGTCACTTCATATCCTAAAAGGAGGAAATGCAGGATTCAAGGCAGTTAAGTTTTGTTCCCAGTTCTGCCACTGCTTGAGCAGGTGATTTGTGCTGAGCCACAGATCATTTTTTCTCTCTGCTGCTATATGGGACCAGGGTTTACCTGGCTTCTGATAAACACTGAGGGCTTTTATAATAGGAACTGTAAATTCTCATCATCATTAACATGAGACCTGCAGTTACTGAGGAGGAATATCTTCTTTGCTCTGTGGAAAACCTTTGAAGGCCAGGTTCTCATAACAGTGTGCACTCAGTTTTGAAGCACTTTTTTCACACAGCTCAGGCTGTTGGTGTTTTTCAAGCTGTCCTGTTATCCTACACAGCAGGTGTTAATTTTGGCACCTTGACCCAGGCTTTGACTTGGTGTGAGCTAAAGTTCATCCCTTGTACATTTTCCTTATCCCTCCTTTCTCAAACCCTTATTTATGACCCTGTGTGGGTTTAATCTCCCCCAGACATACTTTGTGCTGCTGTCAGGCAAATGAAGATGCAGTAAAGTCTGTTTTCTGATTTGTGCTGCTGTCATTGAGGAACCCCTTTCAAACTGGAAGCAAACCCTGTTAGTGCTGCCCAGGGGGGAGATCTCTGTGTTTGGCTGCTCCCAGCAGCCTGACTGAGCTGTAAATGATAAGGACACTTGCTAGTTCAGAAAATTTAATCCCAGCAGTTTTATTTCACTCAAAATCGTTATCATTAAGAAGCTGCTTGTAGTTTAATGGAAGTGTGAGCAGCCTGAGCAGTGTTCTGTTCTGCAAGACTGGTTACGTTTTCCACAGGAAATTGTTTTATAAATCAACCTGGAAGTTTCAGCCTATTTGAATGCCTGAGGGTGAAACAGGCTGTAACAACAGGAAATGGAGTTTAAGAGGAATATGGCATTAGGAATACCTGGGAGCTGCCAGACAGAGAAACAACAGATTAAACAAGATGATGGCATTGGAAATGCAGCATTTCTGAAACCTTTTGGGCCTTTACTCAGACAACAGATGTTGTGACTCCAATCCTACCTGAAGTTCTCTTATAGGGAATGTGCATCTCATAAGACCATCCCAACATGCAGATTAATTAGTTCTTAAGGACTCAAATTGGAGCTCGTGACAAATTGGCAAGAGATGCTCAGCAAAGAAACAGGGGAAGGGAATAATTTTTATCAGTATTTTTCAAAGAGCATTTCAGCTGCTTCTTAGGAAAAAGCTGAATCTTCAAAGGCCAAAATAACACTCTGATAAAAATAGAATTTTTTCCAATAAATAGATTTCCACTTAGGTGGATTTGGATGGAGTTTTTTTTAAGGAGTCACGCCCAAAATGTTTTCACATACAACACTACAGATTTTGTAGTTCCTAGATATTGCCTAAGAGGGAGTTAAATTTTTAAGAGTTTGGATTAATATGGGGCTCTAGACATTTCCTGAGTTGTGAACAAGATGTTTATAATTCCTTTTTTTTTAAAAAAAAAAAAACCCTTAGTTCTGGTAAGCTCTTTGCATCACTCTCTGCTTTCTGTCCCAGTCCTTAGGCTGGTGTGCCAGGCTGTGTCCAGCACATCTTTCACTGTCACCCAGATTGAATCAATTCCTAGAGACAATTCCCTGAGGGACCACGGGGAATGTAAAATTTTATCTCCTCCAAATACATGCCACAAGCTTCCTTGAGTGAATTTCTGATCCAAATCTAATTGCTGTAATTAAAGCAGTTTGGTAAAACAAAATCCCCAAACTGTACATCCAGAGCTTTTCAGCCTCTCAAATACTCCAAACCTTTAAGGTTTTCTTTGAGCATGGGCAACAGAATTATAGAATTTACATACAAAAATACATAATAATCCCTTCTGATTTCAATCAGTCGAGAAAGAAACATCCAGTTTATCCTGCCATGACACTGAGCAGAGGTTGCTGCCTGGAGACAGTGAGGTTTTAGGCATGTCTTCCTAAAATTGTCTCTCACTGGCCTGCTGAGATGCTCAGGAGCTCTTCTGAGAGCTGATGGCAGTGGAAAGATGTGCTGCTTGCCTGGGTCGCAGTGCAAACAGAAAGGGGATAACAACCAGCATCTCTTTGTCCCAAAAAGAGAAACAACAACTTCCCCTGCCTAATTTGTCTTGTTTGGGAACCCAATGGCTGTTCCAAAGCAAAAGTACCATTGGGAAACATTTATCTCTGCACTATATCCAATAAATAGGTCAATTTGCACTTGATTTAATGCAGGGCTGGGCTCAGCCCCCTGAGCTGACATTTTCAGAAGATGGAATTTTCTCCCATCATGTTTAAATCTTCTCAGAGTGTGAAAGAAGAGAATCCCTTTCATTACACAGCACCTTTCCTTTTGTACTTGAGGAAAAATATTGTGCATAGTGACAAACATGTTTAAACCTCTTAATCTTTTTCTTTCTTTTGCAGTACTTTCCACATCAGAATCTGAAGATGTTTCTGAGAGCCAGTGTTATCAGAAATGACTTTGCCAGTCCAGCCTTTCTGAATCTCAGGCACTCCAGGGGCTTCTGTCCTCTAATGAGGGCTTCTCAGAACTCAGCAGAAAGTACTGAAGTAATTCTGGTCCACAAGGAGACAGAAGCATCATGTGTTCTACAGGATACTTGGAACAGTCACATTTTTATCTTCACTGCTGGCCAAGCACTCTGGCAAAGATGGTTGGTAGTTGGGTTGTGGTTTTTGGTTTTTTTCCCCCCCTTTTTTTAAACAGTCAGAATCAGAATATTATTAAAGGTATTTCCACATAGTTTTTATATTTATGAATATTTAATACTGCTCTTAAAAGTGCAAAAAAAAAAGAGAGAGAGAGAAGGGTTAGCTTTGGTGTGTTTTCCAAGAGGATTTGAAAGAAAGCACGGGCCTTAACTAATGAGATGCCTCTATCACTGTGTTGGACAGCTGGGGGTCTTGCATGGAAATTCTCTGAGGGGAAAGAACTGCAGCCAAGATCAAGCTCCCAGTGTTGAAGACAACCACAGCCCAGGCTTGCCTTTCAGCCTCTGAAATGGCAGCTGCTGGGTTTGGTGCTTACCTTCAACTGGCATTTTATGGATCGTGGTGTCCTTATGAAACTTGAAACCCTTGCCTTTTGTACACGAGATCCCCTCCTCCCCGAGGTCAGTGCTCCAGCTGTGTCCTTACTCCAGTGGGGCTCCTGCATTTTACTCACTCTGTGGGCTGGTGATGAGTGGACAAATATGATCCCCTGGAACTCATGAAGAAGTTGAAGAAGCACAGAACTCCTCCTAAGGACATGAAAAGACATTTTCTTTCTAAACCAGCTATGCAATCTTTCCCATAAAGTGCATGAATGCAGCTCTATATTTCTCTTCCCCCTCCAGCTGGAAATCAGCTCGATCTTTCTTTTTTTTCCACTTCCAGTATTGTTTGGGTACTGGGGCCTGGAGACAATCATGTGTGTATTAATTACTGTTCTAACAGTCAATAGAAGGGCTCTGTCACCTACATGGCTTCTGTATCAAAGTCATCACCATTAAAACCTTTGAGTCATTCTCTTGTGCTTTGAGGATTTTTGAGGCTGAGCACAAACTAATTTGTTTGCTGGTCGTTGTTCCAATGACTGCGAAGTTAAATCTTTCAAAGGATGAAATGTGATGTTCTTACTGAAAATGTTGCTAGAGAAATTAACCTTTTTTTATCATTTCTGTAGGGATGATGATGCTTATCTACCTCAGAAACTCCTGTATGGTGAGCTTGCAGGGTATTTGCTGTTCATGTTTACACACTGTGCAGAAAGAAGAAGTATTTATCTAGTAGCAGGGTTGTACATTAAAAGTGTCAGTGGAAATTCAGGATATTCAAGGTATACAGGACAGACTTGCCTAAGGTAGCACAGTGAAAATGAAACTTGTATGTTACTAATAACATTTATTTTTAAATATGTTTTGAGTGATCATATTCAGTCATGTTTTTAGCACTTCAATGCTTCCTCCTACCAATTTCTGTTTAGATAAAGGAATCAAAACCTGAATTCCCTTACCCAAGTTAAAATTAACATAAATAAGTCCTGATATTCAGTTCTGATTGAGTAAGAAGATATTCAAGCCTCAGTGTTTTTCATTTTGAGCAGATTAAATTAGATGTTTTGCTTGAATCAAACTGTTTGCATGACATTGGTACGAAGAGGAATTATGTTAAAATTACTTCCTATTTATTGAAATATCAGCCTAATTTTTTTAAAATTTCTTTCAAGATACACATTGAATCTTGAAAGCCTTGTGAGGTGTGTTTTTCTGTCATGATTAGGATGTAATTGTAAACTACCAGGTTGCATGATTCTGGATCAGATTATTCAGACCAAAAGGATCTGGTGCTGATGACATAGGTCAGTTCCTTTTGACATCAATGCTCTTCTTCTATATCTTAAGATTTCTGTTAGTTAAATTCCTTTTTTCCTGAGAGCTGTATGTCACTCTATGGTTAGGTCATCCTCCCATCTTACAGGAAGACCTCAGTTGCCTTGGAATGTGCTCAGTGTTTCCCTGTGTCCTCCCTGACCTAAATGTCACAAAGCACTTGAAGAGACACTTGAGTTTGCAGCCAGATGTGTGACCTTGGAGTCATCCAGCTGAGCTGAGAAACAAAGAGGAAAAGAAATCAGGACTATCCCTGCCCACAGTTCGAGCAGAATTCTGGCAGGTGCTGCAGACACACGTGCACAGCTGGCCGAACTCCCTTTGGTTTTTGACTTTTGTTCATCTCCTGGGACAAAAACCGGAGCAACACCGTGTGTGCCTGGAGTGTGAGAGAGATCCAGACACTAAATCCTTGCAGAGAGAAACAGCACTGCCTGGTGGGGGGTGAGCTGTTGCAGCACCTGGTGGCAAAGGTAAGGGAGAGATTCCTGAAGCAGCTTTGTGTTTGCACTTCCTTAATTGGGTGTAGTTGGAGGTCTTAGGACTGAAACTTTTCTCACAGCAAGTGTTGAGTGAGCAGGAGAGCAGCATGAGGAACTTAAATACAAATCCAATCCTGTTAGGAGGGAACAAACCAGCTGGTTTTTTGCAATAGCATTATTGGCAGGATCCAGCAGATTCACTAACGAGGCTTCCTTCAACCAGCCCTGCTTACTCAAAAAGAACTATCAGGGCATTTAGGAATGAAATGAAACAGGGAAAGATTTAAAACACTTTTGGATTTGGTCTATAAGCTAGAGGACATACATTTTGTAGTGCAAAAAAATGGTCTTAAATATGAACAGCCATTTCTATATTTGCCTTCAAAAATGGGCAAAGAGAAAGGAAACCCATTACCTAAAGCCTCTGTTAGCTAAGTGTGTGTGTGTGATCTCATTTATATACACTCAGAGCATCTTGGGGACCAAAAGGAGCTTGTGGGAGTGAATAAAACAGTGTTGAAAAGTAAGTAACAACTGAATTATTTTAGCTGATCATTATTTTAAGGAAATACTGCAGGCCAGGATTTGTAACAGCCTGCAGGTCAAAATCTGATCTGCATTACTTCCATATTAATCTCCAGTAACTCTGCTGACTTCAGTGGAATTAACTCATGTCTATAATTGGATCTGTGTTGGGGAAAGTAGCTGGGTTTTTGCTGAGGTTCTTTGTGGCCTCTCATGCCCTTTTAATGGAACCTTAAAGTGCTGAATGCTCTTTTCTTAGCCAGTAACCACAAGCTCCTCTTTGTCAACAGGCTCAGCGTTGGAATCTCTTGCAATCTCTTGCAGGGGAAGAGGAACAGCCTCCTTTCCTTTTTTTCCCCAGGGCTAATTTTTATCTCCTTGTACATGTTAGAGGCACTTATGATGAAACCTCACAAGGTGGCACCACAACTTCATTTAACTGTTTGAATTTCCCTGCAATACAGGATATGGTATAGAATCTATGATGCCACAAACAAAATATGAAAGCTGTGGTTAATTACTGATTTTAAGACTGCACATAATGACACAGGAAGTTTTGTGTGTCTCAACAGCATATTAATAGAAAAGTGTTTTATTCAAGTCCCTGAAAATCAGAAAAATTTAAGAGGGATTTTCTTGTTGAAAGTATAAAAACTCATATTCTAGACACCTGAAAAGATTAAGATCATATCCTGAAATAGCAGAATATAAAGTAAGATAGAGACAGAGTTTTTATTGTGGAATGAGAAATATTCCCGCTCAAGATCCACAGTAAATCAGTTTGGGCTGAAATAATAGCAGGAATAAAAAGAGTTTATGGTGTTATTGCCCAGTACACCTCGGCTGGGACAGACAATGGACTGAAATTTGATGAGGAAGACATTAAGGGTAATAAAATTATAATTGCTCATGTCCTTATTAAGATGTTTGTCCGAAACAGAAGTACAGGACACAGTGAACAGATGTTCTCTTCTTCTGTCTGCATCATTTTTGCAGCTTTGGGTGTGACTATCAAATTCTGTGGTGGGGAAAAGGCAGAGACTGCTCTTGGCAGAATTAAAAGAGCCTCAGCATTACAGATGAAAGTGCCTTTATTTCCCTGGAGGTTCTGCCATTGCTGTCTGTAAAAGGCATTGCCCAATCTGAACTCCCAGTGATGCTCCTTTTGCTTCCACTGTCCCTCCTTTGCAGGAGCAGTGACCAGCCAGGTGTGGCAGCCCCAGGAGCTTTGCTCTTGCACTGGAGGCTCCTCCTTCCCTCTGGTCTTTCCCAGTTAAGATCTGCTCAGATCCAAGTATTTTTACAGGTAAATCCTTGACTCCTGTGTACCCATTTTGCACACACAGGACTCCTGTGCTGTTGGGGGTGTGCTCTCCAGCCCTGCAGTAACACACCATCCTCTGTCCCCTCCTCTCCACATGCAGATTGAGGCCATATGTGCCTGAAAATGTAGGACAGAGTGTTGTAACCCTGCTAAAGAGGCTTGTGGGCACCGGTCCAGCCTCCCCCCTTTTTTACAGTAACTTTTCTCCAGTGAAATCAGTGGATGTGGCAGCCTGCCAGGAGCAAGGCAGCTCATTGCTGAGGGCTTAGTCACAGCTTGGGCAATTCAGCACAGACCAAGCTTCCTCTGTGCTCTGCACCCTGGCAGGCTCTGGGAATCGGTGGCTGATGGCTCAGGGGGTGAGAACTGAAGGCTGTTCAGGCTCTGTGAGAGATGGAAAACAGATTTACACCAACCAGTATTTTTACTGTCTCGTTCTTCACAAGACTCTGTGTGAAACGGAAGAAAATACCCAAACTTCACATGACAGATAAGTGGAGGGGAATTACAAACTGGTAATTAACCTCTGGTACATCCCTGAAGCCTGTTCTGGTCCCTCATGTACAGCTCTGAGCCAGCAGGTACAAGGTGCCTCTGTTTACTTGATGGTTTTCAGCTCAGTCTGAGAAAGTATTTCTCTGTCCAGAAGTCAGATCCAGCTTTTTCCCAGGCCTTCCATCCCCAGTGGGTCTGAGCTGCTCCTCACACCACCAGCACTGAGAGTGAACCCATGCTGATCACTGGGAATCTTTTTTAGCATTCTGTACTCAGGGCTACTTCAGTGGCACTTAGAAATAAATGGGTATCCACCAGATTTTTGCCCCCTGTTAAAAGGAAATGATCTCCTACTTAGACATCTGCTCATGGACTCACAGAATGTGCTGAGTTGGAAGGGACCACAAGGATCAGCAAGTCCAACTCCTGGCCCTGCACAGGACACTCCAAGAATGTGCCTGAGAGCCTTGTCTGAAAGCTTCTTGAACTCAGGCTTGGTCCTGTGGCCACTTTGTCCATAATGACCTGGAGAGGAAAAAGAATTGTGATATTTTAACTAAAATGGTATTTCGGGTTTTCAGAAAATGATCATGCTGCCTTTTTTTTTTTTAACTTCTTTTCTAATTTTTTTTCCTTTGTGCATTTATAAGATATAAAATTCTGTGTAAGAAACCCTGTAGATTCAGAGAGAATTCCCTCTAGGAGGAGTTTGACACTGAAAGACTGTTTTTTCTCTGCCTAAACAAAGGAGTTAATTGGTGTGTATATTCACAGAGATAAATTAAAGCCCAGGAAATTCAGGCAGGCTTTTCATGTGCTTAAAATTTTTCATCTCTTTTATGGTGATTTTAGTGGCTACTGTTCTTCTAATGATACAACCAAATTTGATAAGGAAATATAGATAAAATTCCCTACTGTAACTTCACACATCCTCATACTCACAGTAGCATTAGAATTTACAGTTTTACAAGTTCCTCTTACTACATATCTTTAAATGTTGGCTTTCTGCAGAATTTGCTTGCAGATATTCCTGGTGGAATGACTTAATCCCATGTGACTAATTCTCAGTGTTTTTTCCATTTCCAGTTTTCTCCTCTAACTGGAAAAGCAGAAGGAATACTTGGTGTCCAGAGAAGTTTGTGTGCTTTGAGGTCTTTTCATTCCAAGAAATCCACTTTTTTAAGCAGTGGGTTATTAATGCATTAAGCTCAGCCTGATTTGCTTAGAGGAGGTGTTTTTTTTTCCTCACTCTGATAATTCCTTAGTACCCAGATATCCTTGGGGGCCTGATCTCCACAACAGGAATACTC